ATAGTTTACCCACCTAAATGTTATGTAACGTAGTTAAAACCACCTTGAGCCTATAATCCTGTTTATTTGGTAACCACATTACAAGCCTTACCCCTTTGTTTGAATCGACCATATATTTGAACCTTGTCACCTCTCATGAGCACTTGAATTGTGATGAATATGTAAAAGTTAAAGTGTGGGTGGTGGTTTGGCTTTTGAGTAGAACAAATGAAGTAAGGAGAAAGGTGCACCNCTCATATCCAAATGTATCCTACCCGACCCGCAACCTACATTACAACCAATTAAAGTCCTACTTGATCCTAGACTGAATGAGCTCGGTTAGTAGGGTATTACACTACGGGCAAGCCTATAGTGCATCATTTGTGGCATATGAATATTATTTCTGAGAGCGAGTGAATTTTTCCTAACTTGAGTTCCTACGTTCTTAAAATTCACTGTGTGTGGAACTAAGCTCTTTGTTGGGTGAGGGCACGTGATTCATAAAGGAAAGGTAATGTCATTGACCTCCATGTTAGAGTAAGTAAGTGAATTGTGAATAAGGCATAGTATTTGTGAGTCAAATCTAGAGGTGAGGATATTACACCTTTGTGCTTAGTCTATTTGAAAGATTCATGGTGTGATGAGTTAAGGGAATTGCTTAAAAAGGTCGTGTCTATAAGAATAGTTTGATTGCTCGAGGACGAGCAATGTTTAAGTGTGGGGTATTGATGTGTGGCTATAATTCAATATTTTAGTACATTAGTTACGCTGCATTTTATGTGCTTTAATGTTAAACTACACTTTATTTGCTTGTAATGGAGTCTATTTTATGTGTAGGTGAATTGGAGATGAAATTAGAGCAAAAGAAAGATTTAAATAATAAAGTGTACTCGAAAACTATGGAAAGAAGAAAGAATGCATTAAGCAGTGAAAAGATGAAGAAGCTCGCGAGGCGACCCTTTGATCTCGCGTGGAAGCTGGCGACGCGAGCCTCTGAGCTCGCGTAGGAGCAGGCGTCGCGAAGGGTGAGGCGAGCTCGAGCTCGCGTGGGAGCTGGCGCCGCACAGTGTTAGGCGAGGTTCATCTCGTGTGGAGCCTCGCGAGGCATGGTCTGAGGCGCGCTTACTCCGGATTTTGAAGGCTTATTTCGTCTCCTGATTTGACTGGGACTTGACCTATGTCGTTTAGGTCTTTTCCTACACATATAAATAGACATAAAACACCACCTTTGAAGGAGTTTTGCGACCGGAGGCAAGAATAGCTCGTGAAATACGAGCTGGGAGATAGAATCATCAATTTCACATTCTTTCATCTTTACTTTGTAATTTATTTATGCAATATACGTGGGATATTGTTACTATGAGTATGAGTAGCTAAACTCCTAATCTAGGATTTTGATGGAACTTATTGAAAGATGATTTTCCTGTTACGTTGATATAGATTTGCCGTAGTATTTTCTCTATTTGTTCAACTACATTATTATCGTGGTTAGTTGAAAAGCTCTCAATCGACTATACCTATTTAATGTGTATTACTCGAAAGAGAGTGCATATTTAGGTAGTTGTTGAACAACATCACTCCTAACGTATATGAGGGATCAATACGGAGGGTTTAAAGATGGGATTAGGAATAATAAAAACTTGGTGCGATCCGAGTGAGCCGTACTTAGTGTCAGCTAGCGTAATTCGGAAGAATATGTCTAGTAAATTGTGGTAGTTACTCGGGAGAGAATTATGATACTTAGAGTGCTCATGATCGGTAGAGAAAACTTAGGCAAATTTATAGGAAAACATAGAGGAAAGGATTCCGACAATAGGGAAAATCATAATTCATAACCTTAGATCATTCCAATTCTTGTCTACAACATGTTCGTAGTTAGTTATTACTTAATGCATTTTCCTTACGTGATATTTAGTTAGTAAACATCCAACTTGTTATTTAAATATTTCTGAATTTTGATTGTGTGAATTTGTACGAGTCTAGTAGCTGTGTTTAATAGGTTAATTTTCTGTGGGATTCGATTCCGGACTTGTAAACCAGATTATATTTGCAACGACCGCTTAGTCTTTTTTATAAGGCATAGTTGGGTGTGATCAATGGCATAAAGTTGCTTTCTCACAAACAACTTGTTTGTTAAGGATTTGGACATGTATAGACTTTCTAGTCTTTTTCAAATACCACATGCACTATTTTCATCCCTGACATTATTGAGTACTTCATCGGACAAGTGTAGCCTGATTGCACTAGCCGCCTTCTTATCCATGTCTGCCCAATCCTCGGCTTTCATGGTTTTCGGTTTTTTTTTTTTTTCATCTAGTGCAATGTCTAACCCTTATTGGATGAGTAGGTCCTTCATCCTTCTTTGACATATGGAGAAATTGTCATTACCGTTGAATCTGTTACTTCGTACTTTATTTCTGATATTTTTTTCATCACAGAGCAAAATTGACTGTAAATAATATTTTTGTGAATGAGCAGAACATGTGTTCTGATACCAGTTGTTGAAAAATTTACCCCCCACATAAATAATATTCACGGTATATGATTGTAATAAATGCGGATTACTAAATACAATAGCCAACAGTAATAATAAGAGAAACAAGGACACCGAGTTTTTACATGAAAAACCTTTCTGAATAAGGCAAAAATCACGCATGAGAGGAGCAACTGATTTCACTATAGCAAGGATTTTACAATTTGTGGTACCGAGTAAAATACTCCAATACCACTATACACTCAAAGAAAATAACCCTTTTTTGATTTTCCACCTCACTACAAATCCCGCTCAAACTCTCAATATTTTTCCTTAAAGAGTATTTCGTTTCTTACTTTGTAAATCACTCTCTTTCTCTCCATTTTTTGTGTATCTTCAACTGAATTAGGAGCTATCTATTTACAGACGTCCAATACTCCTTGCTTGCATCATAGATGATATCATCATAATATAAATGTCAAAGTTTCACCTTGTGAAAGCAATGAAAATCCGACAACACAAATCACATTTTATGTAGATTTGGCAGCATGGTACCTTATGTCAAAGGAAGTTCGTCTTCTTTTCACATTCATGGGATGAACCCCACACTTCCCCCTCCCCTTTCTGAGCCGAGGGTCTACCGAAAACAAACTCTCTGTCTTTTTAATGGCAGGATAAGGTATGTGTACACTTTAACCTTCCTATACTCCACATGTAGGACTATACTGGATATATTATTTTTGTTATTAAGGAAAGAGGAAAAGAAAATGAGAATGGTGAGAATTGAACTCATATCAATACTGAGAGATTAATATCACTAGATAAGCCTTGATACGAATATTATTTTGATGTGTTTTATTAGTAGTTTCTTTTTTTCGTTTTATATTTTTTTTTTCTTATCTCATTTAGGATTTATACTGTTTAAGTAATCATCATGCATTTATTAATATCTTTGCCAATAAATTCATAGGGTTGTGACAACAACTTTAAATAATTAGTATCTTTATAGTTCCTTCGTTACCCCCAATAGAAATCTTTACGTTGATAACAAAATTTTGGAGATTATCAATGTTTATTTTAGTATTTTAAGGAGATGGAATCATAATTTTAGAAGGGGGACATAGTACGATATCACATATAGTAAAGAACACTGTGCTAAGAAATAAGGGAAATACAGCGATCTGGAACTTTCTTATTTCTATTTTCTATTACAAAATATTAAAACCAGTAATAAATTTGTTCAGGCAAACAAACTCTTTTTGACAAAAGAATTGGGAATATAGACATGGAAAGTTGACTGAAATTCAGGGATTATTTAAAACAAAATTGATGGCTGTGGAATTCTTATTGTGGACCCAAGTGAGGACAAATCAAATGTGGTGACATCCAAACTTGTGGGAGAGATCTAAGCCTTCAATTTTCAATAAGATTATCTATCAAACCACTGAGTGCAACGTGTTTAAGTACTTTTTGTCCAAAATATTTTCTACGGCTGTATTAATTATTTTTTCCCGTGAGAAGAAGTACTATCACTCATGAAAAAATAAAGGTACAATTATAGTTTGTTTGGTAGGCGTGTTCCTCGTTAGATTTTGGTCGGTTTTCCAAACCAAACCAATCAAGTCGGTTTTTTAAATATTGAAATCAAATCAATCAATTAAGTTGATTTTTTTATCGATTCGATTTTTTCCGATTTTTTAATTTTTTCTGTTGTTTATCGATTTTTTTTCTTTAATATGAGACATATACTACCAAACGCATATTTTGGTGACTACATTTTTAACGTAACACTATCAAACCAATTGCTCTTTGAGAAATCTATCATTTACCAAGATATATCGATAAANCAAATCAAATTTGATCGGTTTTTAAAATTCAAAATCAAAACCAAACCAAACCTAAAAAGTATCGTTTTTTTTTTTCCGATTTGGTTCGATTTTTTGGGTTTTTATGAACAACCCTATTTGGCCAAGCTTTTAGCCGGGCCAAGAGTATTATTTTTAAAACAAGGTCATTGGCCAAGTTTTTTAAAGTTAAAAATAATAATTTTGAGTAGAAGCAAAAACAAAAAAAAGTAGCTTCTCCGTATAAGTACTTTCTGAAATAAATACACTTAAAAATAGTTTTTAAAATCTTGGTCAAGCACTAATTGTCGTTCAAAAGTGCTTTTTAAGTTGATTAGCCAAACACAAATTGCTTCTCATCAAAAATACTTTTGAAAAAAAAGACATTCTCAAAATAAGCAGATTTTAGAAACTTGACCAAACAGAAAATTTAACGACCTCTAATGCATCCATTTCAATCTGCTAAGGCCAAAGGGGCAAATGTAAAGGTCGATAACAACAAAAGTATACTGTAAACATTAATTTCTATGAATCTTCATAATTTCATATAATTATTGCCTAATTCTTATTTCGGAAAAACAAGAATTTTTTAAATTTAATTTTGCACTTAATTTTAGTCAGCCAAATATAGACATTGGTGAATCACTGACTTCTCAAATTGAACCAAAAGTCCAAAACTTGAACGGATTTAAATCAATCAAATAAAGTTAATTAAGAAGTGAAGAAGAAAGAAAGAAGTGTAGAGAAATAACGGGAGGGAAGCGGAATATAATTTAGAATTTAATTAAATTTAGTAATAAATGTCCTAAAATAATCGGTGAATCGAAGGTTATTAGGGTTTTCATCGACGAGCCGGCAATCGCCGCAAGGATTCATCGTCATGGACCGGAGAGAGCCGGAGAAAACAGATGTCCTTCCTTCTACAGCTTTGGCATATCTTGATCGGAACTACTGGTGAGACCTTTCGCTTTCTCCTTTTATTACTCCTTTTAATCTTTGTTGCTCACTTTTTTATAGTCATTTTACAAAAAAAAAAACACCATTTTAACTCTCAGGGACAAGAGGTTCGCTCAAGAGGAACACTACGAATGGTTAAAAGATTATTCTCATTTCCGTCACCTTCTTCAACAACACATTACACCCCATTCTTCTGTACATCTCTCTATCTCTCTATATATACCATTTATTACTTTTTTTTTTTTTTTTTTTTGTTGTTGTAAAAGTGNTTTTTTTTTTTTTTTTTTTGTTGTTGTTGTAAAAGTGGAACTTAGTTTTTAGGTGAGGTGACAGGTGTTGGAGCTAGGATGTGGAAATTCTCAGTTGAGTGAAGAGTTATATAGAGATGGGATTACTGAATTGACCTGCATTGATTTGTCCCCCATTGCAGTCGACAAGATGAAACAAAGATTGGTTAACAAGGGCTACAAAGGTATAAATACACTTTCTAGTTGTTCAAATTTTGTGCTATTGTTTGGTTTCCTTGATTTGACTTTCCTTTTGTTTTGATTCATTTTGCTCAATTGAAGTAAAAAAAATTTGTTAGCTAAAGTGGTTTGCAATGGATGATTCTTCCTATTAAGATTGAGGTCCCAGTTGGAGACCTAGGATCTCATTGCTTGCCCACTCTAGATAAATGTTTTATCAACGCAAAAGACAAATTTTACCAATAATAGCATATAGAAGCATGAGTTCCAACCCTTAGGTGCCTTGTTTGATAGAGTTACCATGTACCTGTTGTGGGAGGTAGCAAGTATCCCGTGAAATTAATGGAGGTGCGCGCAAGTTGGCCGGGATACCACCGTTATCAATAAAAAAAATAGCATATAGAAGCTGGGATGGGGTTCTGCCGTTCTGAAGTAAATAGAATACTCTTCTTCTAGGAGAGAAAGAAGGAGCAAGAAGATGCTAAGAATCAGGTAGCTTTCAAAGTTGATGATAACTAATCTGTCACTGCTGCATTAGAGATGAGCTCGTCCAACCCTCTCCCCTTTCGGATCTTGACTCTAAGCAGCCCCCACATTCTGTCTAAAAAATCTTTTGCATCAAAGAACCTTTTGTTGGTTGAGATAGTGTCTGCACAATCGTTACGCTTATGAAATGCTCTATGTGAAGTCAAAGACAGATTTTGGTATGGAACTTCAATGGCAGGCTTAGCCAATATTTTTCTAAGAGATTTGTGTTTTATCAGAATGTGTCTTTTTTATCATTCCGTCCTGAGTTTAAGGGCACTTTTGCCTATGAAAACTTAAATAAGACTATTCGCATTTGGTAATTGTATTGGGTGAAAGAATGCTAACACATAACAAGAGAAAGATGTCAGTATTAGGAATATGTTCCGACTAATTAAGGGTGTTGAGATGCTCCATTGTTGATGTTTTATGTTATCAATGCCAACAGAAATAAAAGTGCTGGAAGCTGATATGCTAGACCTGCCTTTTGAAGATGGATGTTTTGATGTGGTTATAGAGAAAGGAACAATGGTATTATTAGAAGTTTTATTTTGGATGTACTACCTAGTGCAGCAATGGCTGTCAATCATTTTCCTTTTCAGACGATCGGCTATTCATTTGTATGTTGAACTTCGTTATCAAAAATGTATGTTGTTGAACTTGAAGGATGTGTTGTTCGTGGACAGTGGTGACCCCTGGAATCCACACCATGCAACAGTGGAGAAGGTGATGAAGATGCTTCACGAAATTCACAGAGTTCTAAAACCTGAGGGAATATTTATATCTATCACATTCGGTCAGGTAGTAAGAACAGCTTTTGGTTTATCTTTTCATTTTTAAGTTGTAAATAGTAAGAGCAGCAACCAACACCTTATCTCTTTTTCTTCGCTCTTCTTAAATGGTTTGTCCTAATTCTATTGCTAAATGCTTCTAAATTGTTTCATTTTGCTTTTATTGGCCAGCCGCACTTCAGGCGCCGGTTCTTTAATCATCCTGAGTTCACCTGGTCTGTTGAGTGGAATACTTTTGGCGAAACATTCCACTATTTTCTCTACATCTTGAAAAAGGTAAGTCGCGAATCCAGAAAAATTGTCTTCACCCTACATGCTGTTGGCCAGTGTTCTATTCATTTTTCCTCAGAATATATCTTCCCGAGCACAACATGACCTGTAAAACCCTAGAGAAAATGCGGATTTTATAATGGTTTGATGCACCAAGTTAGAATGCTGAACATGAGAATTGAATTAATGCAGGGACAAAGATCATCAGAGAGCGAGGAGTGCGGGGAAAAGACTCGTATCCCATCAATATCTCTATACCATGATGAATTAGAGGGTGAAGACTATTTATTCAGAACCAACATTGATGAGATGTAAAGCCAGAAGTAAAACGTATACAGCGGCTCCTTTTTGCAACTTATGTTATTGTTTATTACTTTTGTTATAGTACTGAAATGTTACAAAAATTGTCTAGTCTTTCGACCAGTATGATCTTTAATTGATTATCATTTTTTGTTTTTTTTTGGAATTTGGGGTGTTACTACATTTCGAAAATTCATCTGGGCAAATTAGTTATTCGCAGTTCACAACACCAGAAATAAAACCCTGTAAGTCCTCTCATGGAATTTCTGTTACCGTTGTCAAAATTGGGGTTAACTTGGTCCTTGCTTTATTATTGAGATATCTTTCTTGCGAAATTATTATCAAATTGTTCTTTTTCGTGGTCCACTCCGTTGCTATGTGATAGATAATTCTAATATATTTTCTTTCCCCATATATACATAATTATTACTACTATTTTTGAGTTTCTTTTGAGAAAAAAGAAAACCATTTCATTGAATTTTGTCGAATGAAATGTGCAACAACGCAACTAAATAAGATAAAAGGAACCAACATTTCTTCTCTAGGGACTAATATAAATGGAAAAAACCCGCAGCAGTAACAAGTTGTTACATCTATTTACTAAAAGTAGGGGTGTACATGGATCGGGTTGATTCGATTTTTATCAAAATCAAACCAAACCCATTATATCGGTTTGAATTGGTTCGGTTTTGTCGGATTTTTCGAGTTTTCGGGTTTTTTGTTACTTAAATATTATTTCAATCTTACTTTGTTAAATATTTGATAAGTAATTATATATTTAGTAAAAATATAAAAAATTAACAAACATACTATCGATTAAAATATTCTTATGGGAGAATTCTATTAGTAACATATAATAATTATTTTTTTAGTCTTCTGACAATAGTTTTTTGTTGATGTACACTTTCAGGTTACCAATTTTTTCGTTGATGTACACTTTCAGGTTAACTGAATCTAGTAATTAAATATAAAAATCAATATGATACCTAAATATTAATAATCACTTCACATTCGAAAAAGATATAAGACTTTAATAAATCTTAACATATGTTATGAATATGGAAGAACAAAGAGATAAAAGGCATTTTCTGTAACACTTAATAAGAAAGTGATCATATAACCCATTATTTAAGGTCAATAAATATGGAACACTTCATATTCTATTAAAATTTATATCCCGCAAGAGAATCCCAAATATTTTAAGATATTTTTTAAAGAAAATTCTATATAAAATCTTAAAGTATACATAAAAATTCTATATTTATATGTCGGGTTGGTTCAGATTTTTTACTCAATACCAAATCAAATCAAACCAAATCAAGTCGGGTTTTTAATCGGTTTGGTTTGTTATCTAGTAGATTCTGAACAATCAATATTACAGTTCCATAAGGTAAGCAGTCTTACATTTTAATGGTGAACGTTCTTCAGCTTAATCACTCTTTTTTTTTTTCTTTTAAAAAATCATCTAAATAACTTTAGCAATGTGATTTCAGAATAAATCTATATTCATATCACGAGTAAATTTTATGGGTGGTCACTCAACTTTGTGTTTATTACCCAAAAATCACTTTTTTTTCTTTTGTTACACAAAAATTATTTATCTATTCTCTAGTTACCACAATAATCACTTTGACCAGATTTTACAAATCTTTGACCTGAAAAGTCTATTATGCCATTGATATAATAAATCATCCGATTTATGTAATACCTTCTATATTATATGCTATATAATATACTTTTACCCAGGTATTTTACTTATAATTAAAATAACTTGATATTATTTTACTTATTTTTTTATAATATATTCGAACATTTAGTTTTTTCTTAACGATAATTTTTAAGTTATATAAGTAGCATTATTAAATTTGTTAGTAAATATTACAGTGAACAAATCTCAAGTCCACGTTCTTAACCATGCTTAATGAAATATTTGTAATGATCAGCCACGCCATATTCATTAATCCAATAAATAAAATACCCATATTTAGCACAATGACACATCAAATTAACACTTTTAAATAAATAATATTAACAGATAAAGCTTTAAATATCTTAATATTAAATACAAATATCTTCGAAACTTTTTTTAAAATTTGTATTGACTAAAAAAAAACTATCATTTGTTAAACAAATCTGTTTGTTATTATTTCAAATAAATATTAAAAATAAATATTTTTTTATGGTTTTTATATTTAAAATATGTTCATGTTTAAATATGATTAAACAAATTAAGTGCCGTGAAAAAATTAAATGTATGAATATATTATAAAATAATTTAAAGTTATTTTAATTATAAGTAAAATACCTAGTTAAAAATATATTATATAATATATAATATAAAAGGTATTATATAAATGAGAGGATATATAATGTCAATGGCATAATAAACTTTTCAAGTAAAAGTATTATAAAATTTGGTAAAGATGACTTTTGTGATAAACATAGCAAAGTAAAATAATTTTTGTGTAACAAAAGAAAGAAAAGTGACTTTTAGGTAATGAACACAAAGTTGAATAATTTTTACGTAACAAAAAGAAGAAAAGTGACATTTGCGTAATGAACACAAAGTTGAATAAACATCTATAAAATTTACTCTTCATATCACATGGCCTGTTTATTTATTTAAAAAAAACTTACAGAGAATTTTGTTCATAACATTTAGCATAAGGTACATGTCATATTCGTTGCATTAATTAAGGTGAGATTTAAGCTCTCTCACCTATTATGTTGAGAGACTCTTAGGGGTGCTACTACTAAATTGTAAGTAAGGTTTTGTGGAATTTTTATCGTAAAGCTAATTAATGAACCTACTATTTGCAGACACATAATGGATAAGGAATACAATTAATTAGTTAGTTACTATTTGACTAATTGATCCAGATAGGGAAATTGACAAACCTTTCAACATCAAAACACGTCGTTCCGACAAAATCTTCCCGTTGAAGCCTCCTTAACGGCGTCGTATAGCTTTCATGAATTCCCCACCCCAACTCGGATTCCCAGCCTCAGCTCCCCAGAAGCTAAAAATAAGTAAAGCACAAAGTCTCACCTTCAGTGTAGAAAAATTAAACTATTTCTATGCAAAAACACACACACACACACACATAATATTTCTATTTATCTCCTCTCGACGAAAAGAGGAAACGATTTCCTAATTAACCTCCGATGTTAATCTGATCGGAGCGCTAGAATTCTCACTTCGATCCACCGATTTCTTGATTCATACATTCTTCAAATTTCCTTTTTTTGTTTTGTTTTTTGGTATTTAATCTGCGCAGAGGCGAAAAGTGAATGGAGGATTACCTGAGCGGCGATGAAGATATATATTCTTCTGATCAAGAAGAAGGACTCGAGAATGAGGAGTCTGATTCCCGGTGGGCCTCTTCTACAGGAAATTCCTGCAAGGTGCTTTAAAATCCCTGGAATTTTTGCTTATGTCTAAAATTCTAGTTTACCCGTTTCGCTCCTCGTGTTATAAAACCTTCAATTTTGATGATCATCTATGTGATAGGAGTAATAATTAATAATTTCATACATTTTGATTTTAGGCTATTAAGTAGTACTACTTAGTTTTAGTTCTTTAATTTATTTTAGATTGAGAAGTAGTTGATTGATCCATTGATTGAAGTCTTAGTGTGTTTACAAACATTTTCTTTATAGGTTTTCGCGATTTTGTAAATTTCTTTATCTAAAATGGGATTAAAAAAGGTTTTTTTTGAAGGGTTAATAGCTAAAATATAGTCTAAGTACAACACAAGATAATATTAATATAACGTATTTCCTACATAAAGAGACCAAATACATACATTTTAAATAATTGAATGTTAGATGTGTCGGTGTCAAATATCACAACATCAACAACAACAACATACCAGTGTAGTCCCACAAGTGGGGTCTGGGGAGCGTAGAGTGTACGCAGAAACTCCTGCCTTTTTGGAGGCTATTTCTGGAAGACCCTCAGCTTAGTAAGGGGAGAGGGGAGGGGCAATAACAAGCAAATCGATCTGACAACCAAAGCAAAAAATACAAAACTAGCAAAAGGTAATGCAATCAGAAAACCAAAACACAAGACAACATCAAGTATTCTTGTAACAGAAGACTAGGGTACGAAAAAAAACACGGAAGACACCAAGTGGTGTATCAAAGCTACTGCTACAAACAAGGACAACACTCGACCACCTAACCCTTTACCTTAATTCTCAACCTCAACACCTTCTTATCGATGGTCATGTCCTCAGTGAGCTCGAGCAATGCCATATTTTGCCTAATCATCGCTCCCCAATACTTTTTCGGCCTGCCTCTACCTCTCCGTTGGCCCTCCCATGTTAGCCTCTCACACCTCCTCCTCACCGGAGTATCAGTGCCTCTTCTTATGCCCGAACCATCTAAGTCTCGCCTCCCGCATCTTGTCCTCCACAAGGGCTACACCCACCTTGTCGCGAATAACTTTATTTCTAATTTTATCTAACCTGGTATGCTCGCACATCCACCTCAACATCCTCATCTCCGCCACCTTCATCTTCTGGACATGGGATGGCTTGACCGGTCACACAAAACACCGGAAGCGAGCCTCCATTTTATCCATCCCGCCCCAATACGGTGTGTGACATCCTCGTCAATCTCCTCATTCCCTCGTATAATAGACCCAAGGTACTTGAAACTTTCTCTCTTAGGAATGACTTGTGAATCAAGCCTCACGTCTTCGACCTCTTCTTGAGTCGCGCCACTGAACTTGCACTCCAAGTATTCTGTTTTGGTCCTGCTCTACTTGAAACCTTTAGACTCCAAAGTCTGTCTCCAAACCTCTAACATCTCGTTGACACCACAACGCGTCTCATCAATCAGTACAATGTCATCTGCAAACAGCATGTACCACGATACCTCCCCTTGAATGTGACACGTCAGCGCATCGATCGCCGGGGCAAACAGAAATGGGCTGAGGATTGACCCCTAATGCAGCCCCATCACAACCGGGAAGTGATCCGAGTCCCCCTCTCACTGTTCTCACCCGAATCTTAGCACCCTCACACATTCCTGAATAGTCTTAATGTATGCAACATGAACGCCTCTAGCCTCCAAACATCTCCACAACACCTCACTCGACACTTTATCGTAAGCCTTCTCTAAGTCGATGAACACCGTATGTAAATCCCTCTTCCCCTTTCT